CTCAGCTCTGATGACGAAGACTCTCCACATGCAATTTTTTGCAGGATATATGGGGTCTAATAGTGAATTTTGACACATTCTAGTCTCTAGATCAGCCCAGAATATATGCAATTTATATGGAGAAATACGTACAAGTGGTCAGCACAATGACACCCAAGTTTATCCTTTCCCACCATTTTATTTTACTTTTCTTCACCTTGTTCGCTGATGCTGAAATTTGGCTTATGCTGATGCTTATGTCGAAATATTATGAGAGAAAAATATTATTCCATAGTTAAAAGTAGTTTTGAATTGAAAAGTAGTTTTGAATAAGTTCAAGCTAACAGGGGAGATACTCCACAGCATTGACCATGTCAACGCAGCCAAATCCAAATCTTTTCTTACATGTCAATTTCTTTCTTTCTTTTCCCCTTTTGAAATCATTGCTCACTGAATTTTTTTAGATATAAAAATATCTTGGGAGGGGTCAATCAATGCAAATATTCACATAAGCTTTCTCCATGGCCCACCACGATGCCAATGGGTAGTACACACAGTGAAGTTCACGGAACCGGAGTCCGAAATCAAGGAGAAACATGAGGCTTTATTTGGAGCACACACAAGACAAAAGCACACTTTTTTTTACTTGTCGCTGCAAAAAAAAAAGCCATTGGCTGGACGACAACGCGGTCCTATGTACTTTCACCACACCGTAATTTTGCTCGCTAGGTTGGTTGACAATGACCACACCCGTTATTTTTTGGATTTATTAATTCTCGGTGGTACTCCTAGCGTAAATTTAATTGGCTAAGATGCTAGCCGGTAAACAGATACTTCCAGTGTCCACAGGTAGAGATAAATTTCAATCATAGACATTTAGGGGTACATATATAGAAAGGAGAGGCATTCATGAGTTCCATATTACATTTCTATCGCCTATTGAGTCCATGCAGTAGGACCTCGCTTGCTACCCCACAATCAAAAGGTAGACATAACCGATGCTTGAGACAATCCTAACCCAAAACTGATGTTTTCTATGTTTATCCTGTTAGGATAAAAAGGCAAAAACAATGCATAATTAATTTCTTATCTTGTGATGAATCATGAGAAGAACAATCAGCAGCGGAAATAAACAATCACGTGCACAATAGACACAACGATTTACGTGGAAAACCTCCTCAAGGTGAGGAGTAAAAACCACAGGACCAACTGGTCCACTCCAAGCTTCAAACTTCCACTATAATCAATAATTGATACAAGAAGTCTTCTCTAAAGCATCTAGAGGATTATACCAACAGCAACACATTCATCAAGTTACAAACTTAGCATCAACAAACAACCACAACCTTCTAACAAGAGGAATAACAGCAGCCAAACAGAGAAGTCATAGATTCTGTCCCCCTCGATAATCAGTTCATATCTCACAAACTACATCTCCACTATACATGAATTTTGGTACGCAAGTAGATCCACGAGTCCCCTAACCACTGACCAAATTTTAGCTCAATCGGACACCGTTGACCACCCAAACATATCATCTACCAAAACTGCTATGTTCTGAAACTGCAGTTTCGAAGTACTCTAAGTGAGGAATGAGCTCATCAAGTTTGGTGCCAATCCAACCACGTTTGAGCCTCCAATCACCGGCTTGAAGATGACCGGTTCAAAGCCACGAGATTTAGACAGATTTCCCTTCTCCTTCTTCCTCTCTTTCTCTCACGTGGTGGTGTGTGTGTTCTGCTCTCTCTCTTCACTCAGTAGCAGCAGCTCACTCTACTGAGAATGGAGGCAAGGGTTTTCACTTTTATCCTTCATAAGATCAATCTCAATCGTTGGTTCCAACCGAAATCAACGGTGCAGAAGCATCGGGCTTGTGGGCTGTTTTTACTAGGCTCAATTTCATCCTCCGTGGAGGGATTACCAACATATCTATAGATTGTTAACTAAGTAAAATAGTAACGTGGTATTAGAATTAAAGAACAGAGAGGAGGAAATGGTTTCTTAGGAAAAAAAAATTATGTCTACACGGAGACTAATAAAAGATATAATAAGTTGATGGTAGTTGGAGAGAGAAACACGTGATTAGACAAAAGTTGTTTTCAAAAAACCATATGATGAAAATATAATTTCTATGTATGGTCTTTATAATACTTAGAAAGTATAGAAGCTGCCTCATATTTTCTGTGTTAGAACTGTTTTGGGAGTTGGGATGATTCCCTCTTCTTCGTTTCCTTTCCCTTCCTATTCTGACACCAGCGTTGGCAAGCAACCAATTAGACTCTTATTACAACTGTTATTTATTATAGACCCTGAGATTTACTAGGTCAAACCAAATTATTATTATAATAAATACAAATAAAGATAGCAAGTTTTCAGATGACAGCACAATTCTTGCCAAAAAAAACACTTAACTGTCGAAGCGGCGGAAGTTTTCAACTAAGGCCCCGTTTACTTCGCCGGCAGATTTGGCACCGCTGGAATATGTAACACTGTAGCAATGTAGCGTTTCGTTTGTATTTGATAATAATTGTTTAATCGTTGACTAATTAGACTCAAAACGTTAACAGGAAACTAAACCCGCTTCTTTAGAAATCTAGTGGAACTAAACAAGGGCTAACCAACAGGAAACACCCGCCGCCACCCGGACATCCAGGCAAAGGCCGCCACGGACCTGAATTTAACGGAAACCCCCTCGCATTTGTTCTGCCTCGCTTCCCGGATCCACCGTTTCTTTCCATTCTCTTTCATTCATCCATTCCCGTTTCGTTCCTCACCAACTCCTCCTTCCAGAACTCCAAAGTCTCCGATCCTCGATTCCCAAACCTGCCGGTTTGTGGCTGCAGGCGTCGCCGTTGTCGTATGAAACCATAACCAACCAGGTCAGTTCCAGAGGAGAAAGAGGAAATCTTTTAGGCCGTTTCGCTGCGTGTTTCGCGACTACTTCTTGGTGCCATGGCGGCGGCGCTGCTTCGCGCGCGCGTTTAATCTGTTCGTGGAAAAGCGTCCATAGGTTCCTGTTGGTTTCATGAACCAATAGGAGCCGCGGAGAACTGCGAGCGCTGTTAGCCTTTGGAGTCTGCAGGTGATTTGTTTGTTTCCATCCGTGTTCGTTCTTCAGAACGCGTTTTCGTCCGTGCTTAATTTGGTTTCGTTTTTGTTCGGCGCTGATTTTGTTGTTGGGAAGGAAAAAGATTTCTTTTTTTTCTTTTCATCGTTTTTGTTTGGATTGGTAAGAGAAGATGTCTAGCGATGCCGCAGTTTGGGTTTTGGCGGCTGAAATTACTGCTTGTTCATTTCTGTTTGTATTGTATGCGCATCAGGATTAGCGTTTCCTTCTGTTTATGATCGTTTTTGAGTTCCGTGCCTGACGGGGACATTAAGTAGTTAAGCACTAACCGATAAATCTGTCACGTTTTACGGAACCTGTTGGAGACGTGGGGCTAAACAGTGATTTGCTTTTTTTTGTTTAACTTTTTCATGGTTCGAGTGACATGTGGAGTCATGTAATTGCTCCATCAGTGTGTTCTCCCACTTGTGAAACTTTGAGCAATAATACTGGTGTGTCTCTCACTCTCTTTATTCTTGGCTTTGTTTTCTGAAGATAGGTTTTTAGCGGATCATGATCTTATTGATTGAAGAAATGAAAAGCTTATTATGTTAGTCAATAGAATAATAAGAAGTCGGCAATTTCTCTCTGAAGTTGAAACAGATTTCGTAGCTTGCAGCAGAGTTTCAGTGGCCCTTATAATTCAGAAGGCGTGCGATTCGGAGACTTTCCTTCAATTGAACTGTCACAGTTCTCGCTAGTTGTTCTGGTTAACGGAATTGGACCAGCGGTGTGGTGACATATTAGTACTTTAATTCATTTTCTGGCTTTTGAAATCTTGTACGGGGTTACTCACATTTCGGCTTTGCCCCTTTTTTCCTGGCACTCTTAATTTTTTAGTGCTTTGTAGATGGACCTTTTTTTTGGTTAGATCATAAGAAATGTATGCTCTTCTGTTTGCTGTCTCTTGCTCATGTTCATTTTCTATTTATGCTGGCAATAAAATACTGGACACAAGGTTAGCAGTACATGTTGCTTAACACGTGTCCAGTATTTCCCAAAGTTTGCTTTTCCCCCATTAGAAGCTTCCTCGTTCTCATGTTTGCACCGATGTTTTTTTTCTTTTGTTTCTTTAGAAATGAGGCAAGAGAATTGCCGACTGAAATGCACTGAGTATGTTTGGCCAGCCCTGTTGGCTTCTCTTATGTGTTGTACTATTTCAGTGAACGAACCGTGTTTTTCTCTCATATCAAATCAACAAACGGTACTTTCAGCCATGACTTTTCAACAAAGCGAACAGGACCTAGTCCAAGTACTTAAGTAAAAGAAGGCCTGAAAATTGCAAAGTTTTTCTTCATCTGGGTGGCGTACTGGCGTATAGCTCATTCCTCTATAACCTTATCATTGATTCGCATTAGAGACACTAATCTGATTATTGATTAGCAATGGATACACGAACTAACACGGATAGGGAAATATACCTTATAATATAATTAGCCTGCCTTAATAAATGCCTCCATTGCAGTTGGGGATTGCTGTCTTCATGTTTCCGGAAAGCAGAGTGTTATGTCGGCATCTTTGGTTCATTAGTCTAGAAAAGATGGGAAAAAAAGCTTTGTTAAGTGGCTTTTATTCGCATTCATCGATTGTGGTGCAAATTATATTCTATCTTACTTTATGCGTTTTCTCAGGATTAGCTTCCTCCTTTAGCTTACTGAATATGTGGACACTTGGTTTGGTTGGAGACCATCTTTTACTGTATTAAGTTTGTTCGGCACATACACTTTTCGTATATGGTCTGGAGACAATGGTTTATATGGAGTTGGATAGGCATTAGGTTTGTTAATCAGTGGACAGTCTGTTCATGACAGGTGTGAACGTTGAGCAAAGCTGAAAGCGTGTCCCTTATTTTGCAAGGGTGGTGCTGATAAGGATCCACCCCCTCCCCTCTTCTTTGCTGGCGGGAGAACACCAAATGGCCCAGCTGTTGCACCATCAGGATTCTGCATATCAGGATTCTGCATTCTATGGCAAGGAATTGCATGGGTGCCGATGGGGTATTCTTCAATTCTTTGGATTTCGCCGTCGCCTGCGGTCCCCAAAGATGCTACCTGACAAGAAACGTGGTCAGGAGAAAAACAGTCGTGGTAAGTTAGTGAGTCCTTAATTCTCTGTTTTTTTGTGAAACGGATTTGAATACTAGCATAAGGTAGTGGAGTGCAATTGAAAATTCATGTGTCTAAAACTATTTTTGTTTGATCATCAACATAACTGGCAAATCTAATAATTCGAAGTAGCTAAACTGTTTACAATTTGGCTTTTACAGTGTACTGATCTTGGTTTGTCCTTAAGTGTAACTTAGTTAAAACTGCACTTAGTTTCAATGCATGAATAGAATAAGACAAATTATGCTCAGAATTCATACTACTTATGATACAGGAAGTAGACGCCGAAGCCACTGCTATGCTCCATTGACAAACGAAGACAGTAGAATTCTGGATGATGGAAAAAATACTGAGGTACATCAGATAACCCATCCTTGAATTTCAAATTGACTTTTTTTCCCCTTGAATAGTACTCTTTTTTTTACTGTATTGATCTCCTGGTCTGTCTTGAATAAACCATCTTCACTTCCTATATGTTGCTTGATGGTTAAGCACTTGAATTTAATGCATTACCATGCTCTGGCTATTTGTTTCCTTTTAGTTCAAACCAGTACTAATTTGTCTGAACTGTGTCTGCCTTCTGCAAATTAGAAGTAGTTACTACTTGTATGCATTTATTGTGTTTTTTTTAACTGTAGAGTTGGTATACCTGATGCTTATTCGGATATAATGTTCAATACAAGCAGTTTATAGAAGTTCCTTCTTCCAAACCTACATATAGTTCTACACGGACAACTAATTCATTTGAAGATGATTCCCCTTATTCCTTTAATTTCTTCTAATTTAGGTTACAAAAAAACAGAAGGCCTCAAAAAAGAATTCTGGTAAGGCTAGTTTGAGGTCCTTGATTCTAAGGAAATTATATGGAAAGGAAGGTCAGAAAGAAAAGATGCTTCCAGTTGCACCAAAGCTACTCCGCACTATTTCGATACACTATCTAGAAAGTAATGAATATGTTCTTGATGGTGAATCCACTTCAAGTGGTGATGGTTCTTCACATAGTACTAAATTGTCAATGCAAAATGCTACCGATGTGAATTTGCACCCTGCTACATATAGCATCCCAGATGGTTGTGATAGTGATTTAAGTTCTTCACTTCTCCTAAAGAGAGATGACATCCGTATGAAGCGAAAGAGCCACCATAGCATTTCAATGGATGGGATTCTTCATAAGGTCCCTTATGGAAAGAAGGTGTCTGGAGATGTAATCAGTGAAGGTCTCCCCCGATCAGCCTCTGCCTCATATGATAGGGATGGTGTGAAACCTTACTTTGGTACTGCTACAAAGAGGCATGTAAATCAAGGCTTTCGGCGTTCACGTTCCCTCAGTGAATCTTGGGAAAATTACTCACGCTTACTTGATTCCATTTCAAGTAATGAATCCAAAAGAATACTGACCAACTCTAAGTCTACTAGGGATCATTCCCAGGATGGCCCTAGAGTGATTACTTCATTGCAAAGAACTTCTGAAGCTTTCAGCAGGTCTCAAGGTTTTGATAAACGTGATGAAAATCTTATAACTGCAGAAGATGCATTGGAACCACATGTTCAAGAGGATGAGAGTTCCTCAGATATGGTTGCTGGTGTCTCTGAAAATCCTGCTTTACCTGACGAGTACGTTGACGACAAAACAGAAGAAGGCACATGCACTGCTCCTTCACCTTCAGAAGCTGTTGATATCTCAGAAGAACATACAGTAAGTCTGTGACGATAACAGTCAGATTCCCTCATCTGACGTCGAGCTGTATGATGCCTGTTCTACATCATCAGAAGTTGACATACCAGAAGAACATGCAGAAACTTATGATGATGATGATCAGATCCACTCATCAACACAGGCTGATGCATATACTGCTCTATCTTCAAAGGAGACCACCATTTCAGAAGAACACACTCCAATTTCTCATGACAACAAAATACACTCATTCCAGATTTCAGAACCAATAGAAGGTACCTTTTGTGTTCCTTACCCCAGTCACGAATTTGAAGCAGACATAAGTCTAAGCTGTGAACAAGAAACTGAAAGCCCAATGTCTGTTCTTGACGTGGTCTTCTCAGATGATCCTTATCTTCCGGTGAAACGCACCCCGCTGGATGGTGAGAATTTCATTTTAGATCCGGAAAACCCTATGTGCATTGTTCCTGATCATTTGTAGACCCAAAATCATCAATTGCACTAACACTTCAACTTCTTGAATTTACTCTTGCATTGTCTTCTCTTGCTTCAAGCACTACTTGCAATCTTTGGTTACATTTTCTTTGTGTTTTGCCTCTCGCAGATATGTTGATGAACCCAAGAATTCTCCATTTAAACGATACTGATGCTTCAACTGGCACTGCTATCGTACAAGAAAGCGACTTTGATGGTCTCCAAGTAGATCCAAGGCACCAAATTGAGTTCAACCATGTGAAGGATATATTCAAAAAGTCGAGTTTCGGCAACGAAATACTGTTTGATGAATGGCATTCACAGAACATTACAGCTCTTCAAGAAGTGGATTGCCAACACTACGAGGCTGCTGCAGCATCATTTGACTTCACAGATATGTCCGCTGATCAGCTACTTTTGTTCGACTTGACAAATGAAGCCCTGCTGGACATTTACAAGAAACATTCTGTTTCCATGTCTAGATTCTCCTGGTTCTCATCTTTCGATAGACCAAAACCTGTGGGAAACCGTGCCCTCAAGGAGTTGTGGTCTAGAGTGAGCTGCCATCTGGATGAACGGCCATGGTCCAGCATCGAAATCGACACGATTTTGTCGAATGACCTAGCCAAGAGCGATCACTGGATGAATTTTCCGAGAGATGCTGATCATCTGGGGAACAAGTTGGCAGACTTTGTATTCGACAAGCTTCTGACTGAGCTCGTTCTTCAGCTTGCAGAGTTTTGAGTGTAGTCATTTAGTTTTGTCCCATTTTTTGCGTTTAGGAGTTCTATATTGTGCAAAGGCATGGGATCATTCTGTTGTACATAGTACAAATTCTTTTTGTTTTTAATCTTGGGATTATTGTTGTTGTTAGGTCTTAGGAATTCAATTCATTTGCTGGAAAGTTTTGCCTGATGAGTACTAGTATAAGTGAATGGAAGAGCAACATTTTGCTCCACTATTTGTACACCTTCACAAAACTATTTGTATGTATAATCTCGAAAATGAAGATTTTGAAATAGGAATTTGTCATGCAGGCAAAGGTGAAATATGGCGCCTCACGTATCGATTCTAATCTAAAAGCTAAAAATTTGTTGGTGATTTGTGGAAAATAAGTCAATAACCATGGAAATCTGAATCGTTTTGGGTTGTTTACCGGCGTGGCTGCAAATTTACCGAGCTACTTATTTCTAAGAGCCAGATACTGTGCAAGTTCAAAAAGAGAGAGAGAGAGAGAGAGAGAGAGAGTCAGATACTGTGGTCTTTTTTTAAGGAGATCCAGGACGGCACGGACGTCTGTTTCGTGACCCGCGCCCAGACGCCTACATCGTGCGGCGCTTTCGTACCCGTGGCCGCGGCCGCCGCGGCGACACCGCCGCTCCCACTCCAGCGCGGTCGACGCCGCTAGCTCCGCAACGTCCACGTCTCGCCTTGACAGCCTCCCTTCCTCGTCCACGTCTCCCCAAAGCGCCCAGCCTCCCTGCCCTCTTTCCCGACGTGGCCCAAAGCGGCGGTGGCCGCCTCCGCTCTGCGCGCGCGCACGCGCCGCACTCGCCTCGGCTGCTCCTTCCACGGATCGCGCGGCAATAGATCCAATGGTCACGACAAATCTAGACTAAGCCTCGGCCGGTCGCATGATTCATAAACTCAATTTGATGGGGTCGCGTTTGGCCGGACTACGCTGGTTCCACCGATTGTACAAAGTTCCTTCCACCAGATCCACTGTGTGGCAATAGATCCGATGGTGGTGGAAATTGTAGTAGGCGGAGTCCATCAAGTCAATGTTGGCGCTAGTCGATGGTTGCGACGGAGCTGCTGCCTCCGGTGAACTCCACACGCCGGTGAGCCTCCATTTCGCAAGCAACAAGGAGATGTTGCGATGTGCTGAAAACACATGTTGCAAGTGTACATTTCAATTGTTTCATATGTTTTAGAGGTATGTTGGAATTGTTTCACGTGGATGTTGCAAAAGTAGATCGTAATGTTGCAAATGTTGCAATGGCTGTACACGTATATTGCAAGCGTCCGTCCCTAATGTTTTATCTGTGTGTTTTGGACGTATTGTTACAAGTGTATTTATCTAAATGTTGTAAACATTTCACACGTATGCTGTAAGTGTTTTATTTGGATATTGCTAATGGTTTTAATGTTTTTCAAGTGTTTTTATGTGTTTTTGCAAGTTTTAGAAATATGTTTCGTGTTTCATTTATCTTCAGACGTTGTTGCACGTGTTGTATCCGGATGTTTTAAAAGGAAATCGGGTGTTGCACATGTTATATTACGCGTGAAAGTAGAGGGGACACGAGCGGTCCCCACGTGCAGTTTGGCGGCGCGGGCCCATCGTGGGCACGTGAAACCTAGGCGCAGGCGGGGACATACCGTTTTTTTACGAGCACGTGGATTGCTGGTGCGAACGCGGGAAACTGCAGCGGGTGTCCGGACGTGGGCCTCGCGCGCCGGACGTCCTGTCGCTTTGGTTCCCATCCAGATACTGTGGGCGACCAGAGCCATTCAGTGACTGAGACGTGTGGGCTTTACTGGGCTGATATACCGAGCTGGTCTGTGTTGGGCTTGAATCAACTGCTCGCAGCAGGTCCATAATGGGTGCTAAGCCTGATGGACCCAAAGCATGAGGCTTCGACTGAGCCTGCTCAGATGCTCTTGGATTCGGCCCAGCTAATAAGCTGCTAGGGTGCAGACATGGTCCAGTCATCTGCCAAACTGAACATGATTGATCCCAGAAAGAAACGCCTTCTGGTCCAAGTTGACAGGTTCCACTAACGACGAAGACAACCAATTAAGCTCCTACTCTGAGTTCCTCGTACGTGCGTACTCCAAATGATAAGATGTTTTATTTTTTAAATACATTATTTTACTATATATTTAGATATAGTGTATATCTAATTACATCGTAACTTAAGTTACGTATCTAGAAAATTTAAAAGGCTTTATAATTTAAAATGGAGGAAGTATTCTAGTAATAGTACATGATAACTTGAAGTGAAGAGAAGCATCCAGAGAGACGATGATCCACATGTCCGAACACTTGGTTATCTAGTCTGAAGTGATGCGATGTTGCGTGGTTAGTGCAAAGAGCGTCCTTCCATGGAGCTGGAGCTCGAACTTTCTTCAGTTATCTACTATGTGCACGGTTCCAATCTCTCCAAATCTGTGAATTTTCAGTAGTAGTAGTAGTATAAATTCAAAGCCCATTCACTATCTTATCCTATTCCACGCATGGCACGGACAGCAGATATTTGTCGATCATCATGATATGGATGACTCCAGAGGCGTCTTCACTCCTGGTGGCCACGAAAGGTGACGCAATTCACGTGCACACACGCTGCAGATGGAGCAGTCTCCATTGTCTAGACTCTAGAACCTCAAGCATAGATCGACGACTTCTCTTCGCCACCGACTTTTTTCTTTTCGGTGGCGAGAATCCAAAGAGATTTTAAGAATTCGGATTAAAAAAATCTCAAAATCTTAAATCTCATCCAAACACTCTAGGATTATAGAGGATTATAATACACACAGAATCTAAAAAAATTAAAGATTATTTTAATCTAAAGCCTGAATTTTAGAATCATATCCAAACATACCCCTAAGTTTGGCATGCATGGCAAATGGCATGGTTCTCCCTGAAATCAGATAAGCAGAACGGATAAGCCCATGCCCCATGATGGGTAGGCACGACGCAACGCATGTGCCTACCCAGACGACGATGCTACGTGTACGTGAAGTCTGCATAATTGATGAAAAAGGTGGCGTACGTCCTTTTTTTCTTAAAAAAACAAAAAAGTTACATTATTTCCATTAGTAGCTAGGCCTTGTTGAGATTGAAAAAAATTTCAACCCGATAAATAGTAGTACTTTCGTCTTATTTAGTAAATATTGTCCAATCGTGGACCAATTAAGCTCAAAAGATTTATCTCGTGATTTCCAACTAAACTATGCAATTAGTTTTTTTTATCTACATTTAATGCTCCATGTAAACGGCTAAAAATTGATGTAATGAAAAGAGAATGAAAAAACTTGAAATTTTGAGGGTATCTAAACAAGGCCCTAGTACACTTTAGTGTTCGGGATCGGCGGTGCTGCATAGCTGTATAGCTTCTCCAGAAATAAGTATAGTTTTAGTTATTATTTAGTTTGCTACCAAAATACACTAACCTCGTAACATTTGGCTTGCCAAATATATAACAAATTTTTTATTCAACTTTTGCTTGTCATTTGACAAGGTAAATTTTGATCCCAAACCAAGCATGCCCTACCCATAAAAGCGAACAGCATTATAACCAATTATCGCAGCACTGGTATTTCTTTCTCCCTTTTATTTTCTATACTATATAACTGCATTATATACTCCGTCCGTTTTAAATTATACCGTATTTGATTGCAGTGTCCAAGTCCAATTGTCTACGGCATGTTTAGTCTAATCGGCATAGTAAAAGCTACAGTGCCGTACGTGAAAGGTCGAGTCAAGTCGGTTCCTGATGCTGTTTACTCACAGCACAGCACAGCACATTCACTGTGACACACGGATGTGTTCCTATCAAGGGCTAGTTTGGATGCTAAAATTTTTGACAAAACGTTACTGTAGTGTTTTTATTGTTATTTAATAATTAGTGTCCAATCATAGTCTAATTAGACTTAAAAGATTCGTCTAGTGGATTTCGTCTAAACTGTATAATTAATTTTATTTTTTATTTATATTTAATGATTCATGCATGCGTCTAAAAATTCGATGTGACAATAAATTTTGAAAATTTTGACATTTTGAGATGCAACTAAACAGGGCCCAAAACGACCCAGGGCCACGTCGTGCACTAATCTCACATGTCTATCTTCTATGATAATCAGCCTATCAGGTCACGCTCAAACGCAAAAAGTTACTTTTGAGACAGGCATATGGCTACTCCTAAACTCCAAATGCAATTCTCACGCATCGAGATACACAAAAAAGATATATACACTAACTTTTTTATTTTTCACATTTAAGAATCTGAATAGAAAAAAATCTCAAAATCCTAGAATTCCACTCAAACACCATAGGATTATAGAGGATTCTAACACAGGTTCATAATCTAAAGAATATCAAAAAATATTTTGATCCAGAATCCAAATTACAGAAACCCATCCAAACATGTCCTATATACTCTCTACGTCCTAAAAATATATATATCTCGTTTTCTAAAGAGTCAAAAATCTCAAGTTTAACTAAATTTATAGAAAAAATATAAATATTTATATTTTCAAGTATATTTATTATAATAGTATATTCTATTCTTAGTCTATTGATACTTATTACATATCATAAATGTTAGTATATTTTATATATATTTGATCAAATTTGATATTGTTTGACTCTTTGAAAGCGAGAGTCACGTTCTTTTTTGTAAGGACGTGTATGTACTTTATTGAATCATATATCTATATAGCACCTTTTAAGATACCATGCTTACTCATAAGATATGGTTGTTTTTTAGACAACATATGAATGCTAAAATTGTATTTTGCTTTTTTTTTGGGCTGAGGGAGTATATTTGGTCCGCTTTGTACTGAATCGTTATTCATGTCATCTTATCCTTACCAACATCGCTGATATGTATACTAGGTGCTACCTTCGTCTCAAAATAAATTAACTTCTGGAGTTGTTCCACGTCAAACTTAAATTGATCAAATTTATTTAAAATGCACTAATACCTACGACATCCAAATTAATATCACTAGATACATTATGA